CCGTTATTAATCAGCTGTAAGTTTTAGTTTGTTTGAACTTATTCATTATAATTATTGTACACAATTGTATAAGAATGTAAACATTAAGATCTGTTCTGTTTAAATTGATTATAGTCTATTATCAATTCAGGTTAATAAACTAGTGTTGCTTGCATCCTATTTTAAAGGCATTTATTTTTATACTCGACTAAAATACAACAAAAAAAGGGTTTGATTCTATTAATGTTGTCTTTTTTATTGCACTTTGGCAGCAGATTCCTGAGTAGCTTCAGATCTGAGTTGTTTTATTAGTAAGCCTAATTTATACTTTTGTAGCAATACTATTTTTATATAATGGCAAAGAAAGGGTTCAGAGTCTTTTCTTTTCTTCCTGTGTCATATGTGGCAGCACTGTTCAATGCTTCTTGAAAACATTACCCACTGTAGTGACGTGTGAATAAACTCCAACTCTGTATCAACAGCACTGTTGTGTAACTTCAGTTAAATACTTGTGTAGATTAGAAAGAGGTAAGATAAAGGATCTGCAGTATTTTATGAAGTATTAATCGTACAAAGGTCAGTTCTATACAAGTAGAAGTGTGTATTCACCTGGTAGGCTGTCAGTAATGGCTACGCCTCTCTATTTGGACTGGTAGATCTCGGCAGACTGGCAACTTTAAAAGTAGCTCTCGGTTCAAAAAAGGTTGGGCACCGCTGTGTTAAAGCATCTGATCAATAAGTTTGCAAGAAAATGTTTAAAACAACTAGCCTTCAAATTAAAGGGGTTACGTTGTAGTGCCTTTCAGCTCATTGTTTTGGTTTATGTTGTGTTTCACCCTCACAGCTCTATTCAGTGTTGTTTCCAGTCACAGAATATAAGTATTCGCATTGGGAAGTTAATTTGCTGAAAAAAACCATATAATTCAACTTTCCCAGTATTTAGTTTTTTTGTTTTAAAGTACGTCGTCTACCCTGCAAAATCACCATTAATGGCTTCATTCAAGGACTTTACCAATGGATAAAAATACTTTTTTGATTTGATTTTCAGTAAACATGCTGTATGTAATAACTCAATTAACATAAACAAAACATGTATGTAGGCCATTCAAAATCACCATGCATTAGAAAATGCAATTGTGAAGGACCTTATTTTAATCTCAATGAGTCATTGTATCCATAGGCGCCACCACGTTCACAAAATTAAAGCTTAAACAGTCATCACATACTGCTTTAATGCTATCATTATTAAATGAACTGAAAACAAGTTGACCATAAATGACCTGCGAGCAGCATACTATACATAACAATAAAGTGTGAGTCAGAAAAATTACATTACGGATTCATAACAAGCCAAGAAGGAAGGTCTTCAGGGCCAGCCATGCTATATATATGTATTCAGTGGGAGGTACGCTCTGGTCATCATAGGACAACCTTGTGCTCTGCATTTTTAACAGGTACACGAAGATGAAGACAGCGACCAACATTTACATTTTCAATCTAGCTCTGGCTGATGCCCTCATCACCACCACCATGCCCTTCCAGAGCACGGACTACCTGTTGAACACCTGGCCCTTTGGTGAGGTGGTTTGCAAAGTGTTCATCTCCATCGACTACTACAACATGTTCACCAGTATCTTCACCCTCACCATGATGAGTGTGGATCGCTACGTGGCTGTGTGCCACCCTGTGAAAGCTCTGGATTTCCGCACTCCAATCAAAGCCAAGATGATCAACGTGTGCATCTGGATCCTGTCCTCGGCTGCGGGGATACCTGCTTTTATCCTCGGTGGCACCCAGACCAAGAGTGGTGAGGAAGTGCTTTCACGCACACTGAATAACATTACTGACTTAATTAAAAAATATAATATAATATATTCTATCCATTTGGCAGTGAAGAGTTTTCCATTAGCCACACATCATGCCTCGCACTTCCTGAAAAGAAAAAAGCAGGGCTGAGTGCAAGATGTTCCCGTATGGGTGAAGATTAGCATAACCACTGATAGCAGGCAGAGTGGAATTTTATTTTTGGTGAAGTGTCACTTCATTGCTTCTCTTTCCCTTTTTCTTGTAGGAATAACTGAGTGTGCCTTGCAGTTCCCAGAGCCGTACGTGTACTGGGACACACTGATGAAGATCTGTGTGTTTGTCTTTGCCTTCGTGGTGCCTGTGCTCATCATCACTGTGTGCTACTCCCTCATGGTCCTGAGGCTGAAGAGCGTCCGAATGTTGTCCGGCTCCAGGGATAAAGATCGCAACCTGCGGAGGATCACGCGTCTGGTGGTGGTCGTGGTGGCTGTGTTCGTGGTCTGCTGGACGCCCATTCACATTTTCGTCCTGGTTAAGGCGCTGGTGGGCGTACCTGAGACCACCGCCATCATGGCCGCCTACTTCTTCTGTGTGGCTCTGGGCTACACTAACAGCAGCCTGAACCCTGTCCTGTATGCCTTTCTAGATGAGAACTTTAAACGCTGCTTCAAAGACTTCTGCCTCTCGGCCAAACTGAAGGGGAAGAAGGTGTCGGGGAGCAAGAAGATTGCAAGCAGCGTGCGGGAGGCCGCTGTTCCGTTGGAGAACACCGATGGGACTAGAAAGCCGGCATGACTAGCCGTGGAACTGTCTTCAATTTCCCACATTGGAAAAGAAGACTCACATGACCTTGGCATAACCCATGTCACATCAGCCATGTAGTTTTGACTTTTTTTTCATCATCACTTGGACATTGACCAGTGCCAATATTCAGGATATAACTTCAGAAAGCAATGGAAAGTTTCACATGATAAATTGTACTCCATTTTGATTTGATTTACCCTCATGGGAGTTGTTACATAGATTGTTCACTTAGTATCACACAGTATCAGAAACTCATTAATAATATATACTTTAAATATTGCTGTGAATGGGCATCCCCAAATCATATGGCACATCCTGAAAAATATTGCATGTAGCCAGCATTCAGTACTCATTTAATGGACAAATCAGAAAAAAGACTGTAACAAAATTGGCTCCTTGACATCAGTGTTTTAATGTTTTATGATCATTAAGTCGCATTTTGTTTATGCGTTTCTCAAATTCAATCTATTTCTATCATTCCCTCCTGTATTTCTATAGCCAAATGTGCCTTTAATAGTCCAGGATAACACGGTTGTAGCGCCGATAAATTATTTTAGTAATGATAACTGAATGGGGTCAAACAGCCACTGCTTTTTAAGAAATGCAGTTAACATGTTAGCTTCATGAATCACTGACAGCAGATATGTGTCAAAAACCTTTTCACCTCTGTGAAATGTTCTGAAGGACCACAATGTGAAAGAATTGATTCATGTTGGACTTTGAAGTCACTGGGAGGTAAACAAAAACCTCTGCCGCATCAAAGCAGCAGAGGTTTTATCGACGAATAAAGTTTGAAATCCTGGACTTGAATGTGCTTTTACAATTTGACAGAGGGCTCTCTATCAGCTTTCACTCTGGTGTTGTTTCCAGATTGATAAGCTGTTTGATTTATGGTATATATTAAGTCATGTGTGCTTTGTGTGGCTTTTACCATGACAACCTCAATCTAGTAATGTTCTCATCTGGGCAATCTAACAACATAGCTGTTCAAACACGTTTTTCTCTTATGAGCTGTACATATGTATACATTATTTTGTATGGATAACAAAAGAGCTTTGCACAGACTAAATTAAGAAATACTGTATTTGTGGCATGTCAATGATCATTGCTAAGATAGTATAAAGCAACATCTGCAGCCTGTGCTTGACGCCTGTGCAATGATGTCCTTTTGAATGTACTGCAAATATACTCTGTATTATATAAACATATGATTACTCATGGTATTAAGTCATCTATCTCATTAGAGGTCAGTAAGTATTAATGGATTTCAGTGATACACTTAACTCCCATTCTGTGTCATTCTTATTTCCATAATCCAGAGCTTTATTGGTTTGTTAACAAATGTTTATGTATGACGGCATTACAATAGATAAAGCACAGAAGTTGTGTTTTTTGACAACTTAATAAGAGACATTATTATAAGACACTCCACTGTGACCAAAACATCATTTGTTTTCTTTTCATTCTCTGTGCTTACTGTTTAAATTAGCTGCTGCTGTATATTGGCATTGTCATCTGTCATCCATCAGAAGACATATTGATCAAATCGTTCTGTGTGTGACTTGCTCAATATTAAATTAAGTTTAAAAAACCCACATTGATTCTTTTTTCTTGTCAGTTTTCATATGTGAAGTCTTGGTAGTGGGTGACGCTCTCCTTAGACTTAGAGGCTGCTGGAACGTCCTTCTGTGTTTGCATTGAATCATTTATTTGAATACCTTATATAAAAACGAACATGAAGAGCAGTTTTTCCCTTTTTTTTCCTCACAAAGTTTCAGTGTGAGGTCAACGATCCTCCTGCAGGTGTAGATTCTGGGTTTTACTGTATGACCACAGCTCCCTCCAGAGGATACAACATGCCATTACTAAAATGTATGTAGAGTAATCAATAGAAACCAATTCTGCTCTGATTGATAGTTTCATACACACTACTTGACATTATCATTTTACATAAGTGCTATTAACAAACCAGCTTCTCTTTGCAATGTTTACATTATTGATGTGCTGTTTTGTGAGCACATTTTTAGACATGTGCAACATTCAAGCACAACAAAACCTGAAATGTGGAATGTTTTTCCTTAAAAACCTTATTTGGAGTATCTATATTGTTCTTTATTTAAAATGTCACCTTTCCTTTTGTTACATACTTCATTCAGGTACAGTGGAAGGGGGGAAAGTCATTGAAACCCCATCCCTATGTGTTATTGTATTTACGATTGATATGTTTAAATATCACATTATGTTCTAAATGCCAAAAAATATATAAGTTACACAATATTGTTTAGGGACAAACATACATAACAAATAATCTAAACATGAACAAAAGACAAACTGCTGTTTGTAGGGTGTGACTGAGATGTATACATCTATGGACTGAGTGAGCAATGATCATGTGACTTCTCTGACGTCATCCCACAGTCTCTTCCGGGTGTTTTGGTGTTTTCCCTCAGCTGGACGGCGGACGGTGACAGCGAGCTAACGAAGATAAAAGCCTTAATTTTTTGCCAAAATGAACCGACTTTTTGGAAGAGGAACGCCCAAGGGTCCACCACCGAACCTTACGGACTGCATAGGGAGTGTAAGTATAATCCAGAAATAACTTTATAGACGCTGTCTCGAACAAAGTAAACAAAGATGGTTCCCCTCTCGGCTGGCTAAGCTAACTGCTAGCTCACTTTTATGAGCAGTAAACAGGCCTAAGTGTGCCATATGTACTGCCATTATGTCATTATAAACTAGCCTAATGGTTAATAGTTGTTGCTTTACTGATGAAAGTAAGTATAATCCCACTTGGCGTTTGTACCCACACACAATGTGTGGCTAGTATCGGTCGATAATCAAGGGTTTTTAACGAAACAATCGATGTATCTGTTAACGAAATGTATCAGCATATTGTATTCTGAGCAGGAATTTGAGCCATTTAAGTGGCATTCAACCGAAACGATGTATCTCTCTGAATGAAATGGCTGACATCAACCAGTTGTACAGGTTATATGTCTGGGCAGAGTTATTTTTAGCCAATAGAAGGTAAATGGGTTTGCTGGTTATCACTCTATCAGCCTCAATTCAGCTTGTGTGTAGTGCACTTAATGTAAAAGCCCTCTTTCCAATGTAACAGTTAGTTAGACCTGGCTATTGGCTTTTAAGATTAGCATCCTGTAATTCATTAAAAGTGGATGTACTTATCATGTGTTTTATTATTTGAAGGTTGATTCTCGGACGGAGTCCACTGACAAGAAGATTGCCAGACTAGATGCTGAGTTAGTGAAGTACAAGGACCAGATGAAGAAGATGAGAGACGGGCCCTCAAAGGTGAGATTCATTTTCCAACGATGCTGTAACACAAAAAGTATTTAGGATGCTGACAGCTAGGACCACATTTTATATTCTAATTTTTGTATAAAGTGAGCATTCACACACATGTATTCCTATATTTGTGTTTTTCTTATAACAGACATATGCTATGAAAGGCAGAGCTCAACACGTGTGTACATGAACATTATTTTTGATGCTGTACTGTATGGATCACTGAATACAGATCTTGTATTTTTATAACATTACATTTGGCTGACGCTTTTATCCAAAGCGACTTACAATAAGTGCAAAAACCAAAGAGATTCAAACTCCCAACAACAAGCAAAGTGCAGATATATTATCTTCAACCAAGTCATACAATTTGAAGTGCTGGTGAATTAGTTACAAGGCTTTTAAAGTGCTTTTTTATTTATAGATATATAGAATCGGAGGGATGAAACCCTCTTTAATGGTCACACATGCAGAGCACACAGCACACACAGTGAAATGTGGCCTCTGCTTTTAACCCATCCTAGTACCAGGAGTCTAGTACCAGGAGTCTAGTACCAGGAGTCTAGTACCAGGAGCAGTGGGCAGCTAGTGTACAGTGCCCGGGGAGCAATGGGAGTGGGGGGAAGGGGGTTGTCCGGTGCCTTGCTCAAGGGCACCACGGCAGGGCCCAGGAGGTGAACTGGCGAGCAGTCCACACTCCATATTTCGGTCTGTTCGGGGACTTGAACCGGCGACCCTACGGCTCACAGTCCAAGCCCCTACTGACTGTGCCACTGCCGGCATATATATATATATATATGTATTTTCTTTATTATTATTATTTTTACAATAATTGAATTGCCAAAGTACACTCGGAACAGATGCGTTTTCAGATTGTGACAGAATGTCTGTTTCCATTACCGTACTACAAGAAATGTAAACATATTTTCTACAAAAGTCTGTTTTTTTAATAAAGAATTCACACTTCTTAAATGTTAAATCTGGCTGTATCAGAAAGTTGTTGTTGTGTTGCAGATGTTTATTTAAATCAGAAACTATATGATCAATAATTGAATCAATACAACTTACTCTTACTGTTGTCCAGTTAATGTTTGGTGTTGATCTTCTGTTGATATCCTTTGTGAAATATACTCGCTCATTTTCTCATTTAACAGAACATGGTCAAGCAAAAGGCTCTGAGAGTTCTGAAGCAGAAGCGAATGTAAGTGCTCTAATTTCCAATATTTTCCCTATCAACCAGAGTTATTCTTAACATCAACTGATGTGAAAGTCTAATTTATGTAATTATTTTGTCTTCCAGGTACGAGGGCCAGAGAGATAACCTCATGCAGCAGTCGTTCAACATGGAGCAGACAAACTACTCAATCCAGACCCTTAAAGACACTAAAACCACAGTAAGAGAGTTCATTTTCTACTGGACGTCTTCACACATAGAATGGCTCTTTGTGTTAACATGTGCTTTTTCCTTTCAGGTTGATGCCATGAAAGTCGGCCTCAAAGACATGAAGAAAGCCTACAAGCATGTGAAAATTGATCAGATTGAGGTATTTGTTTCTAAAATATATATTAAATGTGAGAGCCATATTTGCCATCAAGTGTCGGCTATAACCAGCACAAGTGATATCAGCATATAATAGGGTGTCATACATTACGTCCAATAGAATCTGTCAGTGCTGACAACAACACTTTTTATTGATTTATTCAGGATCTGCAAGATGAACTCGGAGACATGATGGAGGACGCCAATGAAATCCAGGAGGCGATGGGCAGAAGCTACGGCACACCTGACATCGATGAGGACGACTTGGAAGCGGGTCAGTAAAACAGTTCTTTATCCCTGATTTCATTTAAATATATGAAATAAATTGTAGTGTACAGATTATGAAGATGTAAACATTTGTGATAATATCAGTAGTACTTTAAGTAATCTATGCCTCTCTATCATATCCAGGGCATCTAGTCTAGACCCAACATTGGGGATTGTACTTTGTCCATAATGATTAATAGCTCATTACCCATAGATTTTTTTTATTATAAATTGTTGTCGCCCTTCCTTTCTATGAGGTGAAGGTGGCTGCTGTTTGTAATGTTGAACTGTGTGTGTCCACAGAGCTGGACGCGTTGGGAGATGAGCTCCTGATGGACGAGGACAGCTCCTACCTGGACGAGGCTTCCACGGCTCCTTCCATCCCAGAGGGCATGCCCGGCGACAAGTCCGTCAACAGGGTACTTCAGTTTGATAATATGAACAGGTCTTCTGATGTGTCTACTGTCAGACCTTTCATTAATAGGCTTTCTTCTTCTGTTACAGGATGGTGTCCTGGTGGACGAGTTCGGCCTTCCTCAGATTCCTGCTACATAAGAGCATTCAGGATGCTCGTGCTACTTTTACATGTATCATAGCCTTTTGTATGTATCCAACTGACACTCCTAGCCTTATAATGCATAATCATAAACCAAAGCATCTTCTGTTGAATGCATTTTGGAAACTAATGTCAAGTCAGGCATCTTTAATTAAAAGTTGTGATTATTATTTTGAGTGAGCTCATATCGTATGTATCTGAAGTGAAATTGGATTCTCTTAAACTTTGTACAGTTTCTGCAGCGTTTGTTGCCAAGAACAAAATAAATTATATTTTTCAAAGACTACAACCAAGTCATTTAAAAGTCATTTAATTGTTAAATAAATTTTGTGAAAGTGCATAATAAAATCACTATACATTTATTTGAAAAAATAAATACAAATTCCTTTATAGAAGAAAGGGCTAAAAGAAAAAGACAACCACAGCATACTGAGTGGCATCATCACCAGCTCATCCTGTACGTGTGAGGGAAGACTTTTTGGTGCAGATACTCCATGGCACTGCTCTTAGTTCGCAGTTGTTCAAACTCATAGTAAGGAACCTAGGAAGAAAATATACGTTTTCAGTCATTTCATTCGGACAAGAGATACAAAATGACATGGTTGAACAGTGATAAGTCCTGAGATACTTGTATTGTATGACCGATGTTGGAATAAGTCATTAAAGGGATGAAAATCAGGCAGAGAAAACAAACTGCTGAATCACTTAAGAATATGTAAGATGAAGGTCTAACCTGAACAACTTCATATCCCAGAAGCCTCAGGTGTCTCTGCTTGATAGCCTCTTTTCCAAGTAGTTGCCTCTTGTTCGTAGCAAACCTCTTTTGTCCGTCGATACAAAGAGCTATCCTGTAACATCCATGAAAAGAAACAGTGCAATGTGTTTTAAACGATGAACCTCAGAATCATTTTCTATTTAGTGTAGCAACCTCTCAATAATAAACGACTGACCTTTTGTGGACGTCATCATTATGACTGGCAGGCAGCACATACCCCTCTTCATCGAGTTTTATCTCCACATCTTCAAAAACAAAGAAGTAGTTGATGTTAAGCCCCTGGAAAGAATCTTATGAGAGACGTAGGATCTAACAGATGTTGCGTTACCCAGTGTGTAGCAGTACGGTGTCAGAACTTTGGATCCAAAGTATGACCGAGCGCCGAGCAAATCCACCAGTCCATTTGTCACAGAGTTGTACAGCTGTACGTCCACTGGCGTTTCCAGAGAGCGTCCGGATGTGAGGAAAGACTTGACCCAGTAGTTGGGGTGGAGCCTGGGACCCTGAGGAGAGGACAGAAGGTGTAAAGACACACATGCAACTCTTTGTTTCACAGATGGAAACCATTTTGTTATTACTTTACAACTAAATCCACCCCATGTCCATTTGTAGTAGATTTTGTTCTGAATTAGAGGTTGTATTCTTTTTGTTTTCGTCTCTGGGAAAGTCACATGTTCAGGGTTTAGTCACGGATAACTGATGTGCACTGAGCCTTACATACTGATGGCATGTTAAGTAAGAGGGTGTGTATTCAGGTTTGGGGCATTCTTTTGAACTGGCCTCATCTTTAACTTATCTAACTGTTGAAACATGTTTACCTTGTAGTTAGGACACTCCAGCTTCAAAGTCATGTAGAGCTGGGTCAGCTGTGCCATGGCGATCTTGTCCAGTCCCGTGCTCTGCTCTGAAACACAATACAATCTATGTTAGTCTATTGTTTGAACGATAATGGCCAAATTATAGATTGATTACGGGACAAACATAAAACCTGCAACATGAGAGGTTGAATAACATAGAGGTTGGGTTGCTGGTGTTTGACAGGATGTTTTACCTTGCAGTTCCTGTAGAAAGAAATTGTTGAAAACTTTGGGGACAAAATTAACAGGGAACCTCTCCACCAGGGTGCAGGAGTGGAGCAGGTTGAGCAGCGTTCTGGGCTGAAAGTGCGACAAGCGTGTACGCAGGATGGTCTCAACTTTCCTGAACACATCTCCTGCGTTGGGAGGAAGGTAGCCGAGTTTCCCGAGAGCCATGATCTGCCTCGTCACCTGGCTGGTGCTGTAGTCGTCCGCTCGGTACACAAAGCTCTCTGCAATGGCGTCAACCACAGTCTCTGACAGGATGTTCCTCCGGCCAAAGAACTGCATCACCTTGGTTACTGTCTCAGGGTGGGAGGTGAAGGCCATTCGCGGAACATACCTCTCCATTGCCTCCACAAAGTAATGATCGCTGTGACCAAAGTGCATTAGGGCCCCGAGCACAGCGGTGAGTTCATCGTCTGTGAAGTGGGGGACATGGCGGACGGACTGCTTGCATAGACTGATGACAAGAGGAATGGCCTGCATCTGGTTCAGGGACACCAGAGCACCAAGCAGCCCGCTGACAGCAGAAGGGTCCATGCAATAGGTCACTTTCATGGCGTGGGTGTGCATTGCGTTCAGCAGGTGATGGTATTTCCCATCCTGACCCACGCCACCTTGCATCAACATATAAGCAGCGATGAGATCTTCAAGGCTCCAATCGGCAGGCTTCTGCTTCTGGATTTGCTTCATCACCTGCTCCAGCATCACACAGCTGGACCCCCCTATAGCCAGCATGGCCTGGCCCAGGTTACACAGCTGCCTCACGCTCATCTGCCCTCTGTCCAGCCTCTCCTGGCTTTCAGACACCAGCCGCACCATCAGCGTGCTCCAAGGGTCCAAGAAGAGGCGAGTGCCAGCCAAGAGTGTGGATACTATCCCAGCATCCGTCAGCCACCCAGAGTCCTGCTCCAGCTGGAAGCACAGGGCTCGGATGGTGTCGTTCTCCAGCACCGTGGGGTCCTTCAGGGAGGCACCTTCCTGCTCCAGGTCGGCCACACGGTGAAGTGCTTCAGCAGCCATGGTGTCAGACATGATCTCCACGGAGCGCAGCAGTTTGAAGACCTGCCGGGATGAGGAGCAGTTTGTGAGGCGCTGCTGGAAGGCCTGATTCTCTGCATCGGTGGGTTGGTGCAGCCGGGTCAGACGGAACCGAGGGGATGAGTCTTTGTGGAGACCCACAGAGCTGCTGGCGAAGAAGGATGGCTCCTTGACGATGGTGGTCAGGTTTCTTATCCCATAGTCCGAGTGGAGCTTCTTGCTGCTGGATGAGGTGAACACGTAGCCTACACATGAGGACTGGCCTTCACTCCTGGTCCTCAGCAGCCTGGAGGGGAGCACAGGTCCAACCGGAGGGTAACGGAGAATCCCGAACTGCCCGAGCAGCGGAAATCTCTGGATCAGCTTCAGGGCCATGACCCTGCATCAGGAATCTTCAGACCCAACTGAAACAAGAAACACAAGAAATCTTTTTTCCAGGATTGCTTTGGTAACACACACACACACACACACACACACACACACACACACACACACACACACACACACACACACACACACACACACACACACACACACACACACACACACACACACACACACACACACACACACACACACACACACACACACACACACACACACACACCACACACACACACACACACACACACACACACACACACACTCACAATATGTAAGTAATTCAGAGAACATTCTACAGGCAGAACTTAGATCCCTTCGTCGTTACTCTGCTGTCAACTTACAAAAGATCAACCTTGACGTATCTGTTAGCTAACGTTAGCTACTAGCTTCCTAACTAGAGTTTATGAGTCGCCCTGTACGAAGGTTGACACTTTAGCTTACGGTATTAAATAAAACACTACATGAAGAGGTGAAAACGCCAAAAAGTATACCTGGACATTCATACGAAGGTACAGGCTCACTGCACCAGTGTCAGCCAAGATGCTGTCGTAACGTGGTTCCGTAAGAACTATGAGGCGTTCAAGGCACCTCGTTTTTCTGCAGTTGATGATTGTTATGACTCGGGCTGAACGCATTTCATGCGGTATTTGGTAGGAGGGATATTGACAATGTAAAGTTACCAGAAATATTGCTAAAAAAAGTTAGGTAGTGTTTCTGTAGCAGAACAAAGGGTGAGGCAGGTGCCACAACATGAACATTTTATAAACCTTTCCAATTTTGATGGACATTATTATTTGTCTTGTAAATCCTGTCTGAACCGACAGCATTAGAAGGCAGCACCATGACGCGTAAAATCCGTAAAATCATGCTGGAAATGTTCATTCAGATAATAGTCTATGATTCAGATATATACTGTATGATTAACCGGAGGACAAAACACAAAAACAGATCAAAGTAAAGTGTGCCAATCATGGTGCCAATACATTTATAAAAATGTCAATTTGAAGAGATACCGAAGAGGATTAAGAAAAGGCATAGTATAGTATTTAAAAAAACCTCACAGTATATTTTCAAGATCTATAATTGATCATAGAATAGTGTATCAAGGAATTAAAAAAAAGTCACAGTATAGCAAGTCCTACATTTTGAAAAAAGCCATTTTATAGCATGGAAAAATATATAAAATCCAGTTCAAGTACTTACTTGTTGTTTTTAAATCATTGCATGGACTGGCACCACATTACCTGTCTGAGTTGTTGCACCGCCATGCTCCAGCTAGAGCATTGCGCTCAGCTCAGCAGAATATGTTGGTGGTTCCTCAGAGCAGGAAAAAAACCAGAGGTGACAGGGCATTCAGTGTTGCAGCTCCTAGCCTCCCAGCACATATCCGGACTGCTGAGTCTATTGAACTTTTTAAATCTCAGCTAAAAACTCACCTCTTTGCACTGGCTTTTAATACTAGTTGAACATTACATTTTTATATTTGTATGTGTTTTTTATTTATTTATTTTTTATATGTTTCTAGTTATTGTGCTTTTTATGTTTTTAATTCTCCCATTGTGTTATTTAATATTGTAGTTACTGCCTGTACAGCACTTTGGTCAACTGAAGGTTGTTTTAAATGTGCTATATAAATAAATAAAGATTGAGATTGATAAAATGGTAATAGGAAAGAATATTCAAAATATCATTAAAAAAGTCCCAGTTTAGTTTGTTGAAATATAATGGCTAGTATGTTTTTAAAAAATTATAATGTTGAAAACATTTTTGCATTTAGAAAAAAATGAAAAAGTCATACTACTTTAATTTTGTATAGCTTAAAAAAAACAAACGAAATTGTATAGTTTGTCGATTATATAACAAAAAACACATATCCACTTTGTTAATTTGAATTATTTTCTTATTTCAGTTATTTAATTTTTAATTGTATTAATCTGTGCTGTCCTGGTTTTCATCCTTACCCTGTTGCTGTTCAAACTACTGAAATTCCCCACGGGGATTAATAAAGGT